TTTGTCTTCACCAATGCGTGTTTAATATTCATTTAAATATCAAATTAGCATACATGTTTGTATAATCTCTCATATTCTTTTTCAGATACACGGAGGAGATTCAAGTCTGTTATTTTATGAAATGAGATTTATTTCTCTCATTTGACTTCCTTGGACATTGAGATTGTTGTAAACCAGACGCATCCTGACATTGAAAATAAATCAAATGATTTTATCTTTTGTTGGTTATAGAATATTGATGGATAAGAAAATAGAAGCACACGCAGAAAATGACATGTATGGAGTCAAACAGGTGTCAATCATGATGTCGAGAGTTGATCTAATGCAATATCATTTCTCCAGATTTAAATAATAGGTGAAACAATAGAATGATAATGTGATCCTGTGCTGAATTTAGTTCACGATTAATTAATACCTAAATATTTATGTTGTATAGTAATGTCTTTGATGACCATTCGTCCACCTGATCGGTCTATAATTTTTGCCATATTTCAGTTTTAACGCCCGACTTCAATCTTATAAATCTGAGGTACAACAAATGATCTCACTAATTTCCTCTGATATCCAGTTAAAACTCTTGTATCTCTGTATATTAACTATTCATACCCAAAATCCTCTATTGAATCTGTGCCTTCGCAATTACTATTGGAGATTTATATCACACCATTTATTTATTATTTTTTTTTTTGCCTTCCTTATATTTCATAATTATTATATATTTCTTTTGTTCAATTCCAACGACAAATCGAATCAAATCAAATAAGAAATGCCTCTCCTGCGAGTACGAGTACCTGGTAGCTAAATGACGAGGTTAACGGTGCACTCGATCTTCACGGATTATCTAGACAGTTCCACTGGGTGAAATACAGCTCGTTCATCTTCTTTTTTTCCCTATGGCCGTCTTCTCCTATTATATATATATTAATTTTACATTTGCCATATCTCTGTCCTCATTAAAAAATAATTCCCTGCATCTGTACATTCTGCTTCAACTAATGCGAATCCAAATCTAAAGCACATGGCAATAATGAAATTAAATTAAAAGAAATAAAATGACTCAAGTTCAAACATTAAGATTATCTTGAATAAACCTTGACATTTTTTTTAGTATACAAACCGATCGTGTGGCAAAACTTGCATGACTGACAATATGAAGAAATCCCATTGCATTTTTGTCCAAATCTTCACGTATCAACGTCTTATTGTGTTTTCGTCTCACTGAGGGGCTTCTCTAACACAATTATCAGATTGAGATTGAAGTTCCAGTCGTATTCTCTAACACAATGGATTTGTTATATGGGAAATATTAAGCAATGTGGTGCGGAGTGTTGATTTACAGTTATAGTTAATCAAAATTTTAGAAATATTTATAGCGTGTGACTGGAGAGAAAGAGAGGGTTTATATAATGCTAAACCAGGGCCGGATCCAGAATTATTTGAAGGGGGGTCCGCGGATGCGAAGCTGACCCCCCTTGGCGCGGGGTTGGGGGCCTGCTGAAGGGCTCCGAAAAAATTGGTATGTTAAAGGGCAAATGGTGCCATTTGGTACGGTTTAGAACTATGATTCAACTATTCAGAATTCTAATTTCAAGAGGGGACAATTGGACAATTAGTGCGTTTTTTTTTCAGAAATCGAAGGGGGGGAGGGGTCAGGATCCTCCTGAATCCGCCACTGCTAAACTTATTTGCCTATTTTCTTGTTTCATTTTGAAATTTTGCATTCAACTCTCTCAGAGTAAAGTTAAGAAATTAAAAAAAATTAAAATTCGGAAACCTCAGTAAATGAACACATATGACACTGAAAAATATTCATGAAAATAAGTTATATATTTTTGAGATCTTGTTTTGCTTATTCTCCACTACACATGTTCGCAATTGACCTAAAATAAACGAAAAATGCATGGTCTGTGAGATTAAATCGTTTATTGTTTTCTTCTCTGATAAGTGCGATACAGATGTCTTTTTTTTCTCAGTACACGTACGAACGGCGCTGTTAGTACTAGAAATATCGTGCCCATTTGCAAATATTCTTTATTTCAAAACACCGTCTTATCACGTGGTTAGAAAACGTTAACAAGTTGACTCAATACTCAATAGTTATAGAAGAAAAACTACATTGTTCATATTTTAATATTATAATAAGATTGCTACACGCAGGACAAAAAGAAAAGTGTACAGAAAAGAAAAAAATTGACATGTAATAAATAATAATGCAACGATGGAGGCTACAGTACACTTAATGGCTTAATATTTAAGCTTATCTTCATTTAAATAAGTATCTATGCCGCAGTGGTCGCTCGATGCGCTATTCCTTACGAAACGCTCAGTTTTACAAATTCCATGGTGCCCCAACCTTTCCACAACTAAACTACTTAGTCTTACAGGCCCGTAGCTAGGGGGGTTCGGGGGGTTCGAAAGAACCGCCCCTTTTGCTGGGAAAAGGTCCACTCTGGGTAAAATTTGATCTAGTTACATGAAGTTTTTATGGGAAAAGGTCCACTTTTTCAGAAAAAGAACCCCCCTTTTGAAATTGCTGGCTACGGGCCTGTCTTAGCACACCTTTGAAGAAGGTCATCTTAGCTCTTAAATATTTCCAGCCAGAATACAGTATGCACTATACATAATTTAATCTGTCTTTGGCAATCACCCTTACTTCGTTTATATTGATATTAACAGCAGGGCTGATTTTTTAACCCACACAAGAGCCGATTTTTAAAAACAAATAGCCCTTAAAATAGCACGTAGCGGTATACATGTACATACACAACTTATTTTCCTGTCTTCACCAAAGATTACTTTTGCAAATTAAAAATCGATCGTGTGTATGGAAGTGTAATTTGGTATCGTGATATAATATACCCGTTGTGCATGCATTGCCTATATCAATAACTTACAATACTGTACTCCTGAAACGCCAGCAAAACTCCACAGTTATTACCCCTCTAATATATCAGTGTCTAGAACAAGACACCTTCATCAGTGAATGAGGATGCAGGTGGAATTGTTGCCTATACCTTTTATCATTGGAACTTAGAGCACAAAACACAGCTGAGGACATTTTGGAAATTTGCTGGATTGCACGAAGCTTTTACACTCGTTTACACCCAACACTTAACTTTTAATTCACTCCGAGGTTATGCATTTCTAATAATCCTTATTCAATTTAAAAGCTTTTTAGACACTCCAGTAAACAGTGAAATCGAGAATTCTCTTTCCTGTACCCAACAGCTACACATTTTTTATGACAAGGCATTCACAATGATGCTTACGTGCATCTACCTGTTCAGTTACAAAGTGTCAATAATAAAAATGTCGTATAACGTGGGGGTGGGGATGGGGGGATGCCGACCCGTGCCCCCGACATAACTTCTGATGCGTCCTGACTGCAGTTAACAAGCAAAAAAAGAGGAAAATCCAATAAATTTTTTCCATCGCATCTATTTGTCCAAAATATGTAGAATAGTACATGTACACATCTGCCGTTGTTTATTTTTATTGTTAGTTCTTGTATCCCTCCCCCACCCCAATACACACTCCACGGCTCCTGAATCCGCCAGACAATTATTCACGTGAAAGCCCTGCGTTTCTTTCGTATCAACATGCCCCTTCTCTTTCTATTATATCCAAAGCCTTATAGTATAGAGGGCTGCCTTTTATGCAGGAGCAGGAGGAGACACCATCATCTTCATTCGTTTTGACAGAAACGTAATAAAAATAGGGAATGTATGTATGTGTTTGAGTTTACAGAACATTTAACTACAGATAGCTCTTGAATTAAACGATTCTGAATTGTCTTTTTGCCTATGAACTAGACAGGTTTATCCGGGCCCGCAGACACTAAAATAAGCAACATGAAAACAGCTTGTTTATAAAAACGACTTTCTGAAATAAATAACTTACGCCTTCAAATAATCGTACCGGTATTTTTGGAAAGAGATTCTTGGAATGATGAAAATGCCAGAGATAAAATATAATTCCGAACAATTTAAATATACTTTGCGATCTCTTTCTTTTTAAAAAATAAATGTTGGTGCATCTAATCTTCTTAATATTCCCCATTTACAACGAAATCCATGACGCAAGGTGCCCGACAAGCATTCAGCTTGTTCAGGTTAAAAGCGTGCAACTTCTGGAGAGCAAGTAAAACTGATGTGGCGCCCTCTTTACATTCTTCGCTGTCACGACAAGCCCGCTCCGCAGCCGCCAGGAATCCTTGATCACAGCTGTCACGTGACCCTCCAACGGCGGCACCCTACGGAAGAAAAAGATAACACTCGTGACGGTATTTTTATTGGGAAAAATAACATTCTCTACTAGAGACCAATTGGGTTGTGACGTACGAATTTTTTTGTAAAACAATTCTTGTTGGCACTGTACAGAAATGTACACAGAATTAGCCAAAGCAATATCCGTGAATATCTCCTGACACCATTCTCTGGTGCCTGTAGGAGATAATAACATAAGCATATTTCCTTGTCTTAAACCTTCCAAATTTCTTTTTGTATGCCCCGAATTAATATTCCAATAACGTCCTTTTTTATCAGGCCTACGTGTATTTCAACTCAAATCTAACTTACTGATATTAATAAAACTCATTGTATATGCAAGTACGTAATGATTTACTTGACCTGAGCCAGATCAAGAAAACGGCGATCTTTTAAACTTATCTCAGGATCAGGGTACTTTGAGTTTGATACTTTTAACTGAAAACATACTGATGGTCAAATGATAGCTTTTTCACAGTACTGGAGACCCCGAAGTAATTCGTTTTTTATATACTCATTTATTTAAGAACGAAGTTATAAAGTATTGTGGCAATTACATGTACGTGTAGATGGTACTAATGGTACCGGGAATAAATATTAAAAATATATATAAAAGAGAGACTAAAATGTTTGACTATCCTCTACCAAACCTCGTACAAAACCACTAATAACCCCCAGTGCGTGTATTTATAGTAATACTTACACAGGCGTAGCAGACAAGATGTCTGTCGCACAGAGTGGCGGCCTCTAGGTCCAGTACGACCCCGACCTCCTGGAGAATCTGGCAGCCATTAGCAATCTTCTCCACCAGCGGGCATGTAGGTGCCAGGTCTGGAATGGACATACTCAGTCAGTTAAACAAGATTCGATGTCAAAGAGCTGGTAATCCCACTATATTTCATCAAACTCTACCCCTGTTATGGTGGATCTGGGATTTTACCGAGGGATTGGGATAAAATAATACTGCCTCACTTCGTCGGCAATATGCATGCATAATGCAGTCGCTGAAGGCAAATTTCATTATAATATGTACAGGGATAAAAAATACTTTGTTTCGTCTAGTTTCTCTCCATACAATGTTATTGGGAGGGGTGCAGGAGAAGTGAAGGGAGGGACACGTGTGTAAGATTCTCTAGTGAAAGTTGGATATGATTTTCTCACCTGCATATATCGGACCGTCGGGTATATAGGCCGCGTTCATGTCCTCGTCATCATCAGCTGGCCTTGGCATTTGGAAGAGTTTTTCATCAATGTCATTATAAGCATTTTCTGGCGAAGACTGTCTCTTGTCCTCCACGCCTCGGAGGTAACCCTCTTCACCTTATTGCGCAATAATAATAATAATAATAATAATAATAATAATAATAATAATAATAATAATAAACGTTTGGGGTGAACAAACGCTTACCAGAATATACTGGTAAGATAACATTATGTCGTACATTACGCGCGAGTGTGAATGTGTGTATGTATGTGTGTGTGTGTGAGAGAGAGAGTGAGAGTGAGTAGGAAGCAGTGGAAAGCAGGCAAATGGCTGGAGAAAGAAAGTTCTGTTCTTAAGAAATCATTTTCACGGAAATGACTTACCAAGATCTTCCAAATTCGACTTTTTCTCTTCATCATTTTCGTCCTGGTGCTCCCCATCGGCATGTAGATCAACTCCTATCTGTTGCACCATGTTCCTCTCCAGGCGACCAATCAACGACTCGATTTCCATCGCTTTCTGTAGGTTGTCTGCCTCCTTGGGGACCAGGTCGTTTCCACCCTTCAACTGGCTCAATGTTGCCAAATCCAAGGCATCTGTTAGGTATTCGTTTTCTCTTTGAAGGAGGTTGGCCTTTAAGTCGGTTTGTTGATAAAGCTTTCTGAAGTCGAGGTCGTCCCCGTTTTTCGTTGATGCATCTCCTATGACGTCATCAGTGCCACTGTTTTGGTTCCGACTGTTAAGTCCATCTGTGCCAGAACGCTTGCGTTTCTTGGTCATTTCCTCGTTACTGGGCACGTCCTCTTTGGTCGCTTTCTTGACACTTTTTTTAATCCCAGCTGACCCAAATATGGAGTTAAGTTCTTCTTGATTGACTTTCTGAAGGGAGTCACCTCCGGAGGTTGACTTCTTGGCGGTGTTTCGCTTTTCCTCCCTTGAAGCCTCCGCTCGTAGTTCGTCCAGCAGCGCCTGCATCTGTTGTGGGTTCATGTTCTTTAGGCGAGTTTTCGTGTCCGTTAAAGAGTTGGAATTTTTAAATTGTTTTGGGGAAGGTTGATATTTCTTCTTTAGGGATAACTTCAAAGGTTGGGCCGAGTCATGATCCTGATCCTGGTACTGGTCATTTACGGATTTGAAGAGGTCCTCGAGCTCCTCCCGTGTGACTGGTTCTTCTCGTGGTGCCCCCTGTCCCATCCCCACGAAATCATCGCTGTTTGTTGGAGACATAGCACCGTCGCCGTATGACGGGGATTCAAAGGGTGGGTATGGATCGAATTCTTCATCTCCGCCGTAGCTTTCGTCTCCCTGCCCTAGGCGGGACTCATCCAGAAGGTTCTGTAGAAGATATGGATCGGTATTTTCGTAACCTTCACCATCCTCAAACTCGTCGTATGGAACACCTTGGCTGGCTGCGTCGTAGTATTGACCCCCGTCCCCCAGTCGGCGGCTTTCCAAGGCTTCGAGGGCGTCCCTCATGGATTCCTGGTCGTCAAAGGGGTCACGCCGCCGGACAACGTAAGCGTTCGATGTCACAAACACAAGCAGAAGGTAGGCCGTGGTCCTCATGACTGCTTCGGTCTTGGATGTCCAGTCGGTTTCTTCACGTCCCTGATATGTGGAAAGAAATGTAAAATTGAATTGGGCCATGTTACGTACACATGAACATCGAGAACAACACATGAATAAGACGTCAAGATAAAAAATCACAGGTCATTGAGGAGATGAATCATAATCTGGTGACATGTACAATAACTGGTTCAGAGATAATTTGGTAATGATCGCCTGGAAGGAAAGAAAATAGCACTGTTAACGAAAACACGTGTATACACATGATAGAGTAGTCACGTCTTTTTCTACCTCGTTTTTAATAAATTATTTCTAACCACACTGTTAAAACACTACAGTGAATCCAAAAACATTCTATTATAGCTACCCTGTCCTGAAGTCAGCACTCAAGCAATCTAAACAGGAATTATAATTATATCAAAAGTACAAATCGCTAGTTTTACCTACAGTTTTCAGCAACTCTGTTGAGAAAGTGACATATGAGGCACTGTGTTACGCTTTAAAGCATCACCCTTTGATAAACTCGTCTTTTTCTCAGTAAAGTGCTAATTACCTATGGGCGGGATGTGCCTTTTAAAGTGGTATGACGTAAGGTGCACGTGCCTGAGGTAGGTTAGATCAGCTTCTGCCCACGTAAGTATTCTTTGATATGATATGATAAGATATTATTCATTTCATATTTAAAATGTAAATATATACTGTAAATTATACATTAAAATTTTCTATAAGAGAAGATTAATCATAATCTGGTGACATGTACAATAACTGGTTCAAAGATAACTTGGTAGTTTTTTCCTTCCTTTCCCACCCTGATCATTTCCAGCGCGGACTCGTTTATATATATTGTGCTCGTGCAAAAGCACCGGTGTGGGTTTCCCAAATCAGCCCCCTCCCCCACATGGACAATTCCTGGACAATCCCCTCCCTGCAATTATTTTAAATTGACTAATGAACACTGAATAATATGACACCGAGAAAATTGTGATATTGAAGTGATGTGAAGATGCAGTCATTTTTGTGCTCTGCACCTTGCCATTTTAGTAGTATTACTAGGCATTAGTAGATCAACTGTCGCTTTTTTTACCACCAAGTGGAGTTTACGGAAAATCTAAAGCATTTAATAATTTTTTAATTTGTTTTTTTCCTTCCTTTCCCACCCTGATCATTTCCAGCGCGGACTCGTTTAACTTTGATAAGAAAGATTCAGCAAACGCAGGCATAAACTCCTCCCCCCCCACGACCCACCCCTGCCCCAGAGCCACTCTCTTCCAGGGCCACAGATTGATGTTAAACTAAATATTGACGAATATGTCCCTGGCTTATTTATGACAATTTTCTCTGCTGCATGACTCGCGTTTCTCATTTATTTAAAATTTTTGTCGATTTGTTTATTTTTATTACACTGCCAAAACACTGCAGTGAATCTAAATATATTATATTTTTCCTGCCCTATGGTCACGATATTATATTATATTAGGCAATGCAATAAAGAGGTTATGGTTGTTCCAATCGGTAATTTATTCCAAATCGGTATTTTACCAACATTATGCAATACCTCTTCGGGACAAAGAGACAGTTGAAGCGTTAGTACGTACAGACTCATTTTTACATAAACTAGTGTCAGAGCTAGCGTTCTCGTTAATCCTTTCAGTTGAGCTGCTAATTACCTGTGGGCGTGATTTAAAAACATGTCTTGACACGTGTGGACTTGTTCTTTGACATTGCAAGTCGTCTGAGGTAAGCCCTGGTTTTGCCCACGCGAGCTTTCATTGAAGGACGTACGTTTGGCCTTTTTACAAAGCATAATAATAATAATAATAATAATAATAATAATAATAATAATGATTATTAAGTCTTTCTAATTATAATAAAAGTGCCTTTCTGGTTATAATAATAATAATAATAAAGATAATAATAATAATTATTATTATAGTTATTATTATTATTATTCTAACTAGAAAGGCACTCAGAGAGCGCAGAGAGACGTCAAGACATTTAGCTGATTTATGATCTGTCCGGAAAATTTCCTCAAATTTCATCCAATACTGTTTGAGTTAAGGAGCGTTCCCATGAACTCATCGTACTAGCTGGATCGATCTAACTCTGCGGGTCTATGCTGGATCGATCTAACTCTTCTCGCTAAATTGCATTCAGTGTACTCGACTTAATAATGTTTTTACTTTACTTTACTGATTTTGATTTGTTCACAACACTCTTCAATGTGAATAATCGTCATGTGTTCTGCCAAAGTTTGTGGCAAATGGCTAAATGTAATAATCTTATCCATATTTTACGTAAACTGTTGTTCATTATAAGGAATCACAGCAAATTCACCATAAACAAAGTGAGGCTGGTAAAATCCTGTAGACATCGTACCATGTACAAGCAAATATGACTCCTCTAATAATCAGATCACAATTGCCTACTTGCAAACATTTTTGTGTTTGTTTTTAGATCAAAGATCGAGACAGATCGCTCTGACGCGAGGTTTTATTGTTATACTCGCCGATCACAAATGCACAGTGCTGTCTAAGATATATTAATTAGAAGTAGCCAACAAATAACTGATTCTGCCAGACATTCCGACCAAGTGACATTTCTGTTTATTGGAGAATGACACCATTTGATAAATCTATATATTCATGCGAGCTCTAATATTGTTCTTATTTATATTTTAAGAATGCGTCAAGTGTTGAAGTGTAAGTGATGTAACAGAAATAGTAGTCGGCTAGGAAATGTCGTCCGCTTCCCATAATTTGTGCAGATGACAATCCTCCTATTTACTGGTCACGATACTTGTGGCTTACACGTAACCTGTACTAACCCTATGAGACCCCAGTTTGCCCGGAATGACAGTGCTACATGTAGGAAGGAATATTCGGGGGTTCCCATTATCTCTTCCCGACACTAATTCCTTCTTGCAACGTGCTAAGATAAACAATACTTTGCTTCCCGAAGAAATTAGATAAAAGAAACATTTCAGCAAAAATTTATCTGGTGGATGTGACAAATTAAGGGTATTTCAAAATAACATGAAACTCATCTTCGACTTCATCACAAAGTAAATATTTCATTTGTGATGCAGGTGTTAGTTTCATAACAATCAGTTCCACGGGCAAAGCGCATGAGAAATAAGTCGCATTTGAGTTAACAAGTATTTCTTTCACACCTCGGAAAACGATAGCATTTATAAATTGGAAGTGGGTCACTATTGGTTTCGAGCGTGAAATACTATACCCACTTTACGATCTCCAACGGTTTTGCATTGGGCACACATTTCATAAAAATACAACATTTTTCTAAGTGAAGTTCTATGATGTATTGGTTACCTTTAACATACTCGTGTCATATAAGAACACCACTAACCATTACTTGCTTATCTTCAAGTGCCGTTCTCGAATAAACTTGACTTTTGTTCGTTGATACATTAAACTTAATGAATAAATAGGAAAAAACTGCAATTCAGTACATGCATACCTACCACTCCAGACCACTGTTTGCGATGGTCTATTTGCTTTCCACTCTCTTCCACCTACAGCCGCCCTTAAAGAACGCCTCTCTCTTACCTAGAATACGGTTACGCGGTTTCCTTCGCTTCTCTGAAAATACTGACTGATTGTTTTTCTTTATTTCGTCTGATTGCAAAGGTTAAGGTACCATCAATGCTATACCTTCACCCTCCTAATACCAGGAACCTACCTCTGGCACTGCTCTGGCGCCCACAATCCGCTTCAGAAAATGGCGCACCTTTCAGAAAACGTCACCAGATCTAGTATCGATCAGAAAATCGTGACATTGTGGTTCTTGGAATAACGCTTGCCTCTGATGCACACCTATTTATTTTGGGTTGTGTAAGGAACCGTTGTGCAATGTTCAGAAATAACAAGGTCGCCTCACGACAGCAACTGGCGTTTTTATATGACTAATTTTGAAAACCTGGAGCACGGCTGGGGTTTATTCCGTTATCTTTGCTTATGTTTAGGGGAAATAATTCAGAACTGTTTTATATCTGATGTTTTGTGTTTCAATATTTTTTAAAACTTTCACAGTTAACGTTTCCGTTTATTATCCTTAGATGTTATGTGCATTTGAATAAGCCGTTGTTACTTAAGCATCATTGCATAATGTGCTCATTTTCTGTTGTTTTTGTTGATAGGGATTTCTAGTCGTTCTATCTATCCGTATAGAGTACAACCGTAGCATGTCGTTGCATTTATTTCTATATTGCAAAGCCGAAAATGAGATTCATTTCTCGAAAATAGGCTTCTCGACACATGAAGAATACTGCGATTGGTCCAAAATCAAAACATTGTTCCATTTCTATATTCCTGATGCAAACACTTCATCCTTCGAATCGCAGCGAGTGTCACACAAACTGTGCTCCATTAAATTTGTAAGGGTTGCCGTGACGTAAGCGGTTCAAAATCTTGGACATGGCTTACCTGTACAGATCAATGGAAACTGGACTCCCTCGATCTCTGGTACATGACGCTGGCTAGAATTTCTAGATATTATGTAAGTACTATATAAAATATTGGTATCTTTGTTATATGATTCTGCCTAATAGTGTACATTGATCCAGATTCGCAATATCATCTCAGATCATCTCAGGAATATGGAAGATTTCAGGTTTCACTGTATAGGGTGGATTTAATATTTATGTTATGAAACTAACGGCGGTTAACCAACACCTCAATTGAATTTATATCGATCTTGATGTCAAAGATTAACCGCAGAGGTGCTGGAGATCGATCGATAGAGACAAAAACTTACCAGATATGTAATCTGATTAAACCAATGCAACAATGCCCGTATTACTGGAATATTTTGTTTGACAGTGTGGTTTTATAACAGGGAAATACTCGCTTATCTATGGGAAAGAATAACACAATGGTTGAAATGAAAGAATTACAGCAAAATACATATGTACTCAAGATGTGTGACATACAGTGTACAAAAAGGAATTGGAACGTGCAAATTTGCATTGAAAATGAAATGATAGAGGACATAATGAATACCCATTCATTATTGTATAACGGCAAAGGCTTGTCAAGAGCGGGCAGCCATTGTTCAATTTTTCATTTGGCATCAGTCACCCACAGCCACTAGCAGGCATCGTAACGTATTTGTTACATTTTTCTGTTGATTGAAAAATGAATTAAAATACAAAAGCCATAGGCGTAATGGATTTAAAGCATATATTATACAAATAATATGGCCTATCCCCAAAGAAAGGTGGCCGAGTTTAACATAGGTTAGGTTAGAACAATCGATGGAAATGGAATTTGTATGATCTTAACGAGGCATTAAGGGCGGTGCATATATTTGCATGATTCTTTAATAGATAAACCAAATTATTCTGGACTGCCAACACGTAAAAAAGTACATGCAACTACAGGGAAAATCACAGGAAACTACGAATGGGTTCACCTTGATCGTAATAATAGGGCAAAGTACTTAATACTCTGGGTTTCCTTAACGTTGAGGGGGATGCAGTGCACTTCCTCGTACAAAGGCTTAAGAATGAAGTTAATCATCATTAACGATGCCATTAACAGACAGTGGCACACGGTTGACATTCATTACCATGTTGTGAAGACAGTGTCATTGTACTCGTAGGACGCTAAGTAGAAAAGACAATGATCTCATTACACTATGATCATATTTTGTTCTAATCTTCCTCTTGAGCTGCGTGCACAAAACGCATAATCTTGATGTTTTCTGGTACGACTTGCAATTTTTTTAACAGTGGCTTGTCCCGGATTCTAGGGAAAAGGGGTGATATACGACGTCTTATAGGAAATTGGCCCCAAATCCTATAGGAAAATGTAGAACGTGTTTCCTATAGGACGTTCGTTAGAATTCCTGTCCAGAACCCTCTATAGCCCTGTAAAATCCATATAGTCCTATAGAATTCATATAGAGTCCCATAAAGTCCTATAAGACAGCCTAAAGGAAATATTTGCAAGAGTTAAAGGTACATACGAACCGAGCATTGGTGGAGCGTGGATTCCCAGTAACACATGTAAACCACTTCTACTAGATTCTTATATGACTCAAATAAATTCGACATGCCAAGGGATAAACTGAATAGATCACTCGATCAACCATAAAAGACCTTTAGACTGCTCCTTTCTTTAAATTTTTGGTTGTAAATTTAACCTACTTTCGTGACCTACTTTCCTGCCTCATTGACATACAGCTTAGAATGCCAGCAGAAAAATCTGTTCAAACATCATTTTCGGGTAAAATTAAACAACGCCTTTTGGTAATTCTCTTACATGTAATTATACTACTTGTAACTATATGCTGGCATTTGGTTGGTTTTTGTGACAAAAAATTGACTTTGTATGCATCTTTAAGACATAAGATAGAAGTCGACGGCAATTGCCACTATACTACGTATTATCTGATGGGCACTACCCCTGTCTTCCCTGTTGGGAAATAGGGCCGCTCTGAAGGGCACAGAGATGGGCAATTTATCTGGTTTTGTTTCGTTTCACTGGTTGTCCTGATTTTTAATGGGGAGCGTAGAAAAGAAGACACCTTAATGGGTAAAGGACTTGCAGGTGACCTCTGTGTTTTTTTTCCGGAACCATTGCCCACGTATGGCTTGAGTCCGAGGAGTCTCACTTTAACTGCATAATGATTACAGACATGTTTTGTTCTATTTCTGGGCAGTTAATCAATACCGATAAGACGACTGTCACATAAACGCTCTCCAGTGTGCAGTCTCATTAACCAGATGTGACGTGAGCTTGGCATGATTGCTTCAAGGTGTCGCAGATTGTAATCGTTTGCAGTTTTCTTTTTTTTTTTTTACTAGAAAACAAGAATATTCACGTCCTGACATAAAGAGAGGACTTTTATTTTGCCAGACGCCATAGCATTGTGACCAGCTAGCTCCTGCAGGTCGGGGAGGGGGGGGATGGAGTTCGAACAACTCAACAGTAGTAAGCACCTGAATGAGCACAGTAATATGTTCTGTATCTGAGAAAAATCCTGATGCGGGAAACGCGTCTGAAACGCACATATTCAACGCGTGCTAGTATTAGAGTTTTAAAAATGGCTTATTGTGTATTTGGCATGAGTCGAATTTATCTTTTTTTATCTAAATAAGTCTCATACGGGTGGTATGAAATTATATTGATATATTTGTATTTAAGTGAAAAGTCGCATTTAACATTGTAATGTACGTTTTGAATCAAGCAGATAGACACAGTCGATATTTGTACTGTACGTTCAGCTGGGGAAATTGCCTTTTAGGCATTTGACTCGAGAGGACGAGTGATCTACAGAGAAATTCATTGAATTTATCACCAAATGATGTACATATTTACCGAAAGCAATATTACAAAACTTCCAAAGATTGCATGCTGGTAAACTTGTCCTTATGAGAAAATATAACCCTTTCGTTAATCAATTCTGGTCCCTAGTGTCCGAACAGACAAAGAAAAAATTCATTCCTAATTTTTAGATTGGAAGCAGTAAGAATACACGACCTGTGTTGATTCAAAAAAGTTCTGCAACTATACTAGGAAATATAACGTCACCCGTGGGGCATCATATACTTTATTGGACTCAGATTTCTATTTCTTATCAAGAATGACACAACAACTCCAATTCATTCGTCTTCCTTATGTCTATATGAAAACAATGCAATTTCATTTATCTACAATCTTCACACCGCTTGTCAGGGTCTTCGCCATGGGATCGGAGATACCATAAAATAAGACCAAGTGAGGATCTACACTTTTAGACCCTATAAAGGGCATTGATTTCCACTAGATGTTCATAGATATTTCTCTGTTCATTAGCTCCGGCACATTTCAATTCTGTGTCCGGGTAGGATTTTTGGGCAACAAATACGTCATCACTTTTTCGGCCTCTGGTATACATGGCTTAAGAGCATCAGGGATATTCCGCGTGCCTTGTATTGCCGATTATTTGTTTCGTGTTATGCCAACAAAATCAAAACAAAGATTCGTTATTGCAAATGATAGTTTGCCGTTTTGCAGACGTTTGCTCTTTTCTCTTGGGTAGATTTGATCATTTCTGATTTCAGTAAGATAGATGGTACGCATAACAAGGCATGTGGAATGATGAAGCATTGCCCTGTTTAGAGCAACTGTATTGTGAGATTTAGACGTTCAACGGGGAACCAGACTTCAATTGTTGCGCATCATCCATATGTTTGCTTCGATTTTTTTAAAAATCTCATCGGGTCGATCGTTAAGAAGGTCGTCGACTACATTACAAGAGAGGCTGCTTTGCTGGAATTGACATGTGTTGCGTATTCGACAAGATAATGCAAACGAGTAAAAATGCTGATGGTCCATACCATTCGCTGTTTTCATTACCATGGGGGGAAACTACATGTTTTCGATCGACATATTTAGATTACATAACTACCATGTTTCAAATAATTATCTGTTGTAGGCCTTAGTGCTACATTAGCTCGAAAAGTACATGCAGCCCGTCAGAAATACAACTGCCAAAGTTCCAGATAGTGTTTGCTCTCCCTGTGTTATTAATGGCGCACGGCCCAATCCAGAGAGGCGTGTAATTAGAATTATGAGTTTGCGAGCGCTCTAAGGTACGATGTCTAAGAGCGCTGTGCGGGCTTGCTTCACCTTAACCTTTTACTCTCCTTCACAATAGATTTTAAGGTCATAAAAGAAACATAAACATGTTATTAAAGCTTATTAGACAGTGTT